CAGACAGTCAGACAGACAGACAGACAGTCAGACAGACAGACAGACAGTCAGACAGACAGTCAGACAGTCAGACAATCAGACAGTCAGTCAGTCAGTCAGGTCGGGATCACCCGCCCGTCGCTCTGCCCTAATATTAAGGTGTTTGTGTGGCCGTGGTGTGTGTTGTGTTTCTGATGAGTCACCACGGAGACGACAGCCAGCGGCTGCACAGCTACCACTGCAGATAACAGCGTTTCACTTCCAGATGTCTCCGACTCTGCCAACCAGCCCTGGCCTCGCGGCCTCATCCGTCCAAACCGTTAGAGCTGTGCTCAGTGTCACAGATAAGGCCCACAGTCACCGTCTGGTCCAGCAGTACTTGACTGAACCACAGTGACAGACAATCACTGCCATCACGACACGACACGACACATCTCACCAAAATAACGTATAAGAAACACAAACAGAAGGTCCTTGGTTTGAACCCAGAGGAAGCACGTACAGAGCGCCTCCTAGATGCAGCCTGTTGCAGCAGATCTGCTCAAGACTTTTTTGCTTTAATCATGCATCAACAAAATGACCTTATGAAAACTTTTGTGTGTTTATAAATGCAACATAATTATCTATAATCATCGTTTAAAATGCACGTGGAAACAGCCATCAGTGTGGTGGACCTCAGGGCACTGTCATTATACCCCTGTGTCTGTGTGTCACCTGCCATAATGAGTTTGACTCTGTGTTAAGTGAAAGAGGCAGCAGCCACAACAACCCCCGGTGATTGGGCTAAAAAACGCTGAACGACACAGTAACAGTCATCATCATCAACAGATAAAGATAAAGACAAACTAGCAGCGATGCTAACACCATTTTTTCCTCTTCATTTCCTTCTTCTGTGAGTGATAATTCTGGGTGTCCCCAGTAGAGGGTGATAATGCAACGAGACAGACCTGATCGCAGCATAGCTATAGCTTATTTTGTTTTTTTAGCTTATTTCGATGGTTCTCAAAAGCAGAAAATTCAAATTCAAATCACTGCACTTTTCCACAATCTGGAGCAAATAAAGAGTCTGATCTGTCTTTCTGCCCCCGGCCCCCAAACATTACAGCTGAGTTCATTATTCTCTCTATGTTTTTTTTTCTTTTATAAATAAACAAGTAAAGGAAGTGAAAAACTGTGGGAGCTTTTCTTTTATAAATAAACAAGTAAAGGGAGTGAAAAACTGTGGGAGCAGCTTTAGCTTCAGTGACACAGACTCAGTCCTCATCAGACACCACAGAGTCACATCCGTCCTCTCATGTTGGTGGACCTGGTACTGGAGCTGTGATGTGAACACCAGAGTCAGGGTCTCTCCTCCACATCCCATCTCACCTTCAGGCTGTGACTACAGAAAACACACACGATGCCGTGTACAGCGTACAGGTACTGTACTGTACTTACGGTGTACTTCAGCCACGTTAAACCTTCAGGGCTTTTCAATAATTCACCCTCCAGCGCTGAAACACTAAAATGCTTTCTCTGTGCCTCCAGTTTGAGCACCTTAAAGCAACACAGGCCGTGACAACCAGCAGGAGGCTGAGAAACAACGAAAATAATACAGGAGGTTTTTACGTCAAAGATTTTACAACTGTGTTCATGTTCCTGAACTGCTAACGTCTGATGAGCCGGTGACTGTCATTTGATCTAGGTTTCCTTCTTGTACAGTTATTTTAATATCAACTGTGACATCCTCTGATGCCACTAGGTGGCACAGTGACAAATTATGTCTGTCATTTTATTAATATTTAACCAAATAGGAGCAGGTTTGAGGCAGATCCACACCATTAGAAGGAGTATGATAAAATATGGATGATGGAATATAAAATTCAAAATAGTTTCCCCTCACGTTGGTATCTTTATATGATACATTTATGTGTTGAATTTTAAAACTCGCAGGAAAATACATTTTTTAATTATGAATATTTAAACATTAAAAAAAAAAGCAGTTTAGATTCAACAAATTAAAGAAGCTGACCGTGACATTGTTCATTCACATTTTAAAAAGGTTCCAATCCTTTCAGACTGTGTAGATTGTTTGGTTCTACGTCCACAACAGTGATGACAGCGATAATGACCAGACGGGAGCATTTGTCGAGGTTAATAAGTCTGATGAGACTGCTTCCTGAATGAACTGTAGACTATTAAACGTGGAGTTTCTGAGCCAGACGGGCTTTTACATAACACCGCGACACGGAGGAGCCAAAAGCAGCTACTTCTATTTTCACACAGCGCGTTAAGCTGTTGGCACCGCGCACCGTTATACGACCTGTATATTAAACACATTTTGTCTGTCGCTGCTTAGTTAGCCATGACAGCCCTGACTACAGACTCCTGTGGGAAATCAGGCCGCTTCCTGACGTAGAACAGGCAATGGAGGTGGAGGAATTATACATGTGTGTGTGTGTATTCACTTGAATACTGTAGCTGGCTTCAGTGCTTACAGTACTGACATGACTGAGACAGACTCAACAACTGGACTTTGGTTAACTTAAAAGCTCTGGTCTCAAACGTGTGCGAGGGAACAGTTAATCACTGCTGTGACTTCCTTTCACACAAATCACAGCCAGGAGGCATAACATTTACAATGTCAGCCTCAGTGTTTAAAGCCAAGGAACAGCAGCTCCAGGGTGATGGTGCTAGCTGTGCTACCAAACCTGCACTTATACAGTTAGACATTACAGCCAATACATTTGGCCGACTGTTCAAGATGCACAAGAGGAGGGAGGTGTCATATAAATTCCCATTCTATTTTGGTAATTTGTGATATTTCAGCATTGAGAATATAGTCTTCACCTCCTAGCCTGTAGAGGGCGCTGATGAGGGGATTACAGACACCTCATAGCTCATAGAGCGTTTCCCATATTTGCTGTGTCCAAGTGTTGTGCTAGAACAAAGCTAATTATAATGCGTGTTAGCAGTGATGTAGCGCCATGCTAGTAAATGGCATTTAGTTTTGTCCAAGTCCATGGATAAACCAAAATAAAACCACTCAACGCCAAGCTTCCTCTTTAAGCTGTACAGGTAGATAAGAATTTTATGATATTCACCACTGCCACCTACTGGCTGTTATTTTACACCAGTAAATATTTCATGCGACATGGCCCGGTCACTTGCAGAGGAAGTCAGAACCTTACTGACGGACACAGGATCAAACTGTTTCTGTCACACTCTAAAGAAAGAACCATTTTAAGGATTATATCGTAAGAGTATCAGTAAGTTGCAGTCCCTGCTGGCACACAGTGGTATTGCAGCCCTACTTTTCTAATAACATTAGGAAATGTTTAGCCCTCTCTTTCATTCTACCGAAAATATGGTGGAGGAAGAGAAACATGTGAACAACACAGTGGTTTAGCATCAGGTGTGAAATTTGTTTATGATTTTTTTTTATTATGTGAAGATATAAATCGTTACAGAATTTACATTTTCTGTTACACGTTCTCTGCAGAGATGAGACCAAAATGATCATGCATTGAAAAAAAATTGGTGAGACTCTTCGTCAACCTCTGATTTACAGCCACAAATGCTAAACATTTGTGACAGTGTGACAGTTTACATAGTAAAGACCAGTGGAGCTGTCCATGGTACCAGGGGGATTTTAGTAAATATTATTACATAAGTATCACATGATGGAGGGCAGTGTTAGTGGAGTGAGTCAAGTGGCTCAATAAATAAATAAATAAATAAATGAAACCCTCCTGATGCAACACTGTACTGCAACTGAGTCGACCAGAACCCTCTGTGTTGTGTTTCTTAAATTCTTCATAAAAGAGGTAAAAGCGACAGCCACAGTTTAATCCTGATCATCACTATAGTTCTGTTGTTGTTATACTGAGGCTTTAATCATGTTCTCAGACTGGAAGTCCATGATAACCAACTAAAAACCAACTAAAAGGTCTGACAGTTCAATGCAGACTCAGGAATCTTTAAAATATTTTCCGGGGGGGGGGGGGGGGGGGGGTGCCCCCTCCATCCCCTTCACTTATGCTTGTACTGTAAATACCTGATCTGGTTACATGGTCCGTTTGCCCTTCTCGGATTGATCCTGTGGAGTTAGAGCAGGACGATCCGGCAGCATTGTGATGACAGCAGCAGAGGAGCCGAGGAGCAGAGGAGCGTGGTTCATGGGACTGCGGTGGAACTTCTCCAAGGAGGCGCTGGAGTGCAGAGCGCACGGTGCAGCCAGCAAACAAAACCCGGTGTCCCAGCTGTGGGACCAACAGCAGAGCAGAAGTCAGTGAAGGCTGGGTTGTTGGTATACAAACAAACGAGAAACACCGAAACGACACAAAGACGTGCGCAAACACACGGCGACGGCGATAACGCTGCGGGAGGATGTGCGCCTTTTACGCGCAAGGAAAATCCAGGAAAATGGTTGCTAATAAGATGCAGCGAGAGCAAATATGAAGATCAAAAAAACGGGAAAATGAGTTCATATCAGAGGAACACATCCAACAAGTGAAGAAGGAGAGGCGAGAAAACGGAGTCTGATGCTGCGAGGGCAGAGAGGAGGAGAGGAGAGAGGAGAGGAGCCGCCCGCCCGGATTCCAACCCCGCCTCACACACAAACACACACAAACACACTCCACTCCCCTCCACCTACAGGACAATTTCAGGAGGACATAATGGACATTTCTTTAAAATTACTTTTCTCTTTAAAGTAGGGACTAAGGATAAAAGTGTGTAATTTAATACAAAGTTTTCTCAATTAGGTAAATTTATATAATCGGTAAAATGGCGGAGACCGTCACCACATCGACAACTGATGGATTTACAATTTGCATTTTAATGACTATTGATTTATTTATTTGTTTTACTTTTGGCTGCTCATTGTCATCCTCTGACGTCATTCTGTAACAAAACATCCTCCTCATTAGGATCAGGGCTCTCCTGTACAACCTTGACCCTGCTGTGGGTGACGTCACATAACAAAGCAACATCAACGGGGTGGATATTGACTGACCTGTCAATCACAGCAGTCAACGGGGTGGATATTGACTGACCTGTCTGTCAATCAGAGCAGCGTTGCATTCACGTGTACCTCGTGAATTAGGTGTTAATTATAGACTATTTTCCTCTGATGATGATGATGATGCACTCTACAACAGGCAAAATCATGCCAAGAGAAAGTCATTTTAAGATCTTTACACTTTTAGAAGAGATGTTTCTATCAGATAATTCCTTCTTTGGTGAAGCCCCAGCTACTTTTGGGCAACATAGAAGGAACAAAATTTAGTTCCTATCAAATGTTCTGTTAGTTTTTGGCAAAAGAAAATGGAGCTAGATCTTCTTAACAAAATCTTCATAAATTCGATAGGCTGGTTAACATTCTGATGTGCTCTGAATTTCAAATGTGTTCATTTCCTCGGGCTGAACTTGATCAAATAAAAGACAAAAACACAGCTGAGACTGAAACTGTCTGACTGTAGAGGACGCCCCCTGTTGGACATGTCTTAACACATTAAGTTGTTCAGATCAGACATCTTTTACAATCAGTCTTAGAACTTTTCGACTGAGCCTGGTTATTTTTTTTTTGCTCTACATTGTACATATGCAGCCACAGCAGGGCCCTGATTGGCTGCCAGAGTGTTGCCGCTGTGCGTGTTATTGCTGTAATAACGAGGTCAGCGGCGATCAGTGTACAGACACAGGTTTTAATGAGGTAAAGAAAATAAATAACCCCACCTTACGCTGCGAGGGCTGCTTCATTCAGGATGCTCCCATTAGTGGAGAGGTCTGGGTAATGTGGTTGTGGTGGAGGTGGACCCCCCCACTCCCACCCCGCCCCACCCTAAACACAGACCACTGAGCTACAGTAATTGATTTGCCCTCAATCACTGGTCCCTTAATCTACTTACTGGTGCAGGCGAGTCCATGCAAATATTGACAGACAGACGAGGCCTGGACCTCAGAACCGAGAGGACGGAGAAGGCTGCAGACACGACACGAGCAAACGGTGAAAGTCAAAGAACGACGCTGGAAAATTCTACGTCCATGTCCAAAGAAATGATGAAGCTGGGTTATAAAAGTGCTTTGTGGAAACGTGATGTCCTCTGTGACTTTTGGCTACTAAATAAATCAATGTGCTGCTGTGGAAAAGTCAACTTCAGCAAGTTTTAGACCAGTATTCACATGAATGCTAATACTTGACCTCGTTAACGCAGCTCAACTCACTGATGGAGCCGATTTTAGATGAATATATGCGTGAGATGTCAAAACAGGAAGTACTTTTTTATACAGTATTGTAAAAAAAATATGAATGAATTAAACATATAGAGCATACTTTTTTATACAGTATTGTAAAAAAATGAGAGAATTAAACATATAGAGCGGGGGGGGGACTTATTTTCACCGAGGGCCACTTGAAGGGCCAGTTGTAACTGGAAGACTGTATAGATCAGGGGTCCCCAACCCCCGGTCCACGGACCAGTACCAGTCCATAGATCCTTTGGTACCGGGTCGCAGTGGTACACAATGAAACTATGTACTAATTTTTTACTAATTAAATAAAAAACTGCATGGACTTTATTAAAGGTTTTTGAACTCCCATGGGCCACACAAAACGTCTTGGCGGGCCACATTTGGCCCCCGGGCCTTTAGTTTGACACATATGATATAGTATATAGTGATTACACAAATGCATCCATTAAGACAAAACTTTTTTTGTGTGTGTTTGAAATTACTTTTTAGAGAAACATCTCATCGCACCAACCCGTAAATATCACGCACCTGCAAACTCCTGATCTTTTCTTCTGATCTCACTCCAGCCGTGACTTTCGAGCAGGTTTTCCCTCTGTATGATCCTGGTTTCCATTTCCTTGGTTTAGTGGAGAACCCATTGTCCCAGGTCCTCTTCAAAGGACAAGCTCAGTAGCCCGGTCCATCAACGGGTCACATGTAAGAACAAACAACCATCATTCACTCACACTGTGGTCAAAGCTTCAGAATACAGAATGAACGGCACAGATATGTTGCCAAGTCATAGATTTTTAAGCCAGGTGCTGTGAGAGGAAACAGAAAAACCTCTCAGCATCTCCAGACTTTATTAACGTCTGCAGATGCTGAGCCTCAGCCGTGATCAGGAGGCTGGAGACGCACTACACCGTTCACACTGTTCATGTTCGTGGTGTAGTATAATGGCAGCAGGCACAGTGAAGTGCACGGGGACAACACTATCTTGGAGCTGCAGATAGACCGGCCTGTCAGCGAGGGCTTTACTCCGACAGAACCACCAAAGAGTCAGACTGGTACCAACTGGATCAGAGAAAAACAGGGAAGACCAGGTTTTCAAAGTCTGGTTTCTGCAGATTACATTATTTTTTTAAAAAAGTTATATTTCTTGGAATTTAATATTACTAGAAATGTTTTTGGTGAAAATGTCAAGTTATGGAGTGAATATCAGTTTGATGGCACCATTCAGTTCCTCTGCCAGACACACTATCAATTACACCCACAGCTTGGGGGGGGAGGGTGAGGCGGGGGGGTTGAGTTTCATAGGCAAACCCTATGCACAGTATTGTCCAGATGAAATGCAATTATGAGTAAATATCAGAATTCACTAAACAGACCAAACACATCAAACCCATGAGTCAAACATGACAGGATGGTGGAGGTCGATCGTGTTTAGAGGAAAAGTAAATATCAGAATTCACTAAACAGACCAGACACATCAAACGTGACGGAAGAAAAACAACACGGGAGGATGGTGGAGGTCGATCACGTTTAGAGGAAAACAAGAGAATTTAAAGTTTCAAAGACTCAAACTGACGGCCTTCTACTTTTCTAATAATTCTAGAAATTATAAGAAAATTAACTTTTATATTTTATCCATACAGATATGATCACAGGTGCATTGTGGGATGTGATGAAAAATAAATAACAGTCTAGGAAAATCTAGGGCAGACTGCCGCACATGATCCAGACGGTTGGTAACGAACATACAACTCTATTATAAATGATGGAGTCACATCCTGTACACACACACACACACACACACACACACACACTGGCCTTCACATGACTAGAGTGAGTTAAGAGGGAGCAGCATCTCTATGGCAACCTGGGGAGTAAGAGGTCACTGTGTGTGTGTGTGTGTGTGTGTGGGACAACAAAGCTAATGCTATTTCCTTTGCTGGGAGGCAGCTCTTACTGGATGGTTATCAGGACCGGCCCATCCCTGGTGTTCTGACTTCATTGTCTTCCATTCAATGTTGTATTTTAATGGATTTGAATTTTAGGTTTTTTTTTGTTTTGTTTTTTTTTTTGTGGCCCAATTTCCATGTGTTTGGAAAATATGTTTCAATCTGTTCCTGTAGGAAATCTTCATGTCACCAGATCAGGGCTGGGTCACCGGCTGGTGTATTTTAGAAATGTTAGCAACAAACAGTTTAATTGACCTTTGACCTAGTCAGTTTGGTTGCCTTTTCATCAGTGGTGCCTGTGAAATAGGAACTGTCTATTTAAACTAGTTTCCTTTTCTAGAGCCAACGTTCACAGATGTCCTAGCTTTGATGAAGATGATGATGATGATGACAAATCTCTTAATATTTTCTATAACAGGACTAGTAAATGTAATGACAATCATAAAATTGTTACTATAAAATAAGTGTAGCCTTCAATACTTTAGCAGTAGAGGTTCAAGTTTGTGTTAATCTTTAGAAAAATAAAGATTTAGAGTCCGAACCGTTTAACCGAGGTCATCTAACTCTCATCTTCCACCGTGATGATACTGCTTTAGTTCCCACCAGGTCTCAGCGACTTTAAACGATACGTTTGGAGACCAGTGTTTACTGCTGACGTTTTAATTACTTCTGTCCCCGCAAAGTTAAATTTGGCCAAGGAGACAGAAGACAGAGGAAGTGTAGGGGTGCTGATGACAGAGGAGGAGGGACGGGAAGCAGAGAAGGAGACTGAAATTGAAGAGGAGCGAGAAGTGAGGAGGAAAAAAAAGGGATGTACGTGGGTGTTGACTGATCGTGACGGAGCATCAGGGCTGCTGGCTGTAAGTGGCTCCATTCATCAGGTGACCTGCTGCTCCTCCTCAGTCTTCTCTGAATGCATCCTTTCATCACTACATTTAAAAACCAAAGACACACAAGGTTTCGTCGTTAGTGGGAAAAAAAAGAAAAGGTGTCAATCAAACCAGCCAGAAACCAGCGCTGACATGGAACGACAATCTTCCTCAAACTTTCTTAACTTTTTAATGTTGAAGATTCAACTGAGGCTGGTAAAGCACTACTAACTAATTAATTAATAGAGATGCTGACAAGGAAGAAGACCTTTGGAACCGAGAGGAGAGCCTGGTGCCAGATATAAATGTAGAGCCTTAGAAATAAATCACTGGCCATTCTAAATTTAGTTAATGCGCAATATGAATATGCAAAAAGTACAACTCTGTGAATGGAACTACAGCCTCTCGGAATTTATTTCAGACTTTGAGTGGTGGCGTGCTGAAAGCTTCTCATCTGCTCTGAAGGTTTTTTTCCGAGTCCTATTAGTGACTCTTACGGCACTGCATCTGCAGCAGACCAGTGCTGTGCTGTTGGTGACGGAGTCCATATGAATGAGTGTGAGCCTGCGCCCAGCAGATATGATGTACAGCTGACTCTTTGTTCCACAAATCCACTGGGATGCAGCAAAGGGATCGACCAAGAGAGGGTTTAGCGTCAAAGATCGTTTTTTCTGGAAGAACCTAGAACAGAGTATCTCGCTGCACTGTTCTGTTTTTAACTAATATTTTAGTCATGTTTCAATGGAAGCCAGAGAGATTATAAACAGAGCACAAAGGGTTGAGGATGTGAGGGAAAGACGGAAGAGATTTGGTGGATGAGAGAGTAGAAAGAAGTGCATGGAGGAGGAACAATACCCAGTGATGGTGCATATTGTCTCTGTTGTCAGTGAAGGCAGCACTTTGATGCATTGCATCTCTGGACCAAAGACAATTCTGCAAATGCGGACAGCCTGGCGTATCTGCATATCGATTATTTGTGGCTGTCATAAATACACTTTATTGGAACTGTCAGCGCATGTTGTCTCATATAAACTGAGCCTGGAGATCAGCTGCAGCTGGTAAACAGCTCACATCTGTACCAGTGAGATGAGCACAGTGGGACAGCCCTGGTATTTGGTGTCAATACTGCGACTGCTGCTTTTTTTTGTTGTTTTTTTTTAAACAAAGAAAAAAATTAGAGTGTCAATACTGCGACTGCTGCTTTTTTTTTGTTGTTTTTTTGAAAAAAGTCGCAGGCGGGAAAAAAAATTTAATAAACATTGGACATTTATGAAAAAATAATTTATATTTAGTCAGCTAGCTCTGTTAACATAAGTAAAGGATGGGGTATTAAAACGTCCAAGTAGAGAGAGAGAGTGTTATTTGGGGCGTAAACAAAAATTGTTGCATACGCAAATCAATTTTATAAGCAGCAAGTTTTTCTCATTTTATACTTTTTCTCTAAATTCCTCATTTTATAATTAAACTGATTTAAGTGTCAACTCACAAACTTGCGTTTTCACTTCCTCCCTTTTTCCTGTCCAAGAGGAAGCTTCTCCGTGCTCTAACATCCAGGTCCTCTAAAGTCCTTAGTGTGTGAAGCCATATTTTCTCACAAAACGCCAGGAGGCTGTAAAAAAAAAAAACAGCCCTCGTTTGAAACGAATAAAATGTAAAAACAAGAAAAAGTCCAAGGAACAGTTTCTCCACGAACCACTACAGTATAAAACTAATCAGACTAAAACACTCTCCAAAACAGTGAGAACTATATATTTACCACCAATCACCATGCCATTGTTTTTAATTTAATTTCTTCTGCTCGATATAAATGTCACTCTTTATACAGTAGTTCCCCTGGTGTGAGTCACTACAGTCCAGGATCTGTAGCATTTTCAGAATTCAATGTTCTCTATCAGAGATATTTTGACACATTTTTCTGCATCAACCTTTTTTTTTTACTTTTACTTTTTTATTTATTCAACCAAAGAACACAAACTTATTGACATAATAATACCTTAATAAGATCTAACTTTGGTTTATTCTCACGATTTCAGAATTGATGAAATTGGAGGAAGATACTCACCCAGCAGGAGTGGCATTTAAAACAGTTTTAAAACTGGGAAGGAATATAAAAAGTATTACATCGAAGGTTGAACAGATTAGAAGAGATACAGAACAAACCTGCAGGGGAGAAAAATAAGACTTCAGAAAAAGAAGAAGATAATTAGTGAGCGCTGTCTCTGAAAACCTCAGTACAACTGCCCCCAGGGTCAGAAACAGAAAGTGAAGTAGAAGAAAAGGAAAGTATTACTTCTACCTGAAGATAAGCCCGAATGAACGCCACTGCCTGGCCATTCTTTATTGGATTCCTGACTGAAAAAGGTCAACAAGTATGATTATTTTGATCTTGAAAAAGTTTTAACATTTGTGAAATTATTTTATTTCTGTGAATAACACTGAAATATTGAAGCTGAAAACAAAAGAAGGGACGTTTCGTGTAAACGAAATATTGAAGCTGAAAACAAAAGAAGTGACGTTTCGTGTAAACCAACAAGTAAAGAAGTAAAAATGTTTCAAACTCACCTGCGCTACGAATTTTCTTGTATAGTCAACATTTTTAGCCCTTAAAATACAAAACTGCATTTGACACAAAATATATATATTTTCTTTAACGAACCAAAAGTATTCTCCCACAGCCATGAAGATGAGGTTTGGTGGAAATGCACGATATGCAACTGTCAGGTTAGACAATCGGTATTTTCTCTGGAGGACGACAAAACTGCTGATTGATGATATTTTTTTCATGCTTAGTAGCAATTTCCCAGAGAGACGACTACAGTTTTCGCAATCCATCTAAATAACAATATCTTAGATTGACACTCAAAAAAAAAAAAAGAAGCACAATGTTAAAACATCAGAACTGCACATTCAGCGAGACCGGCTGGTGACCATCCCATTTTAGACCCCAGGGCCAAATTCCCTGTGAAAAAAACACCCCCCCCTGGTGGCCAAAAAAAAAAGTTTGCACAGTCAACACAGTCTGTGACACTGACAGTTATCATGTGTCTGTCAGTCAGTGACTTGATCGTCATGAAACCATCAGGTCGATTTTGTGACCAGACTCCAGGAGCTTTTATTTCGTACATGTCAGGTGAACTGTTGAAAACAGAGACGGACCTTCATTATCGTCCAGTCAGCAACTGTGAGCAAATAAGGTGTGGAGATTCTAACAACAGCACAACAGATAAAAACAATAACAGCGTTTGGCAAAATAGCAGTGTTATAAATCACTAGTTGGGTTTCGGTTCAAAACCCAGTACCAATACTATTAGTTAATTAAACGCTTGGTGAGGCAGGGTTGGTTAAAGAAATTACAGGATAAAATTCTAGAGTTAGACAATCCCTAAAGTCCCTGACACTGATGTATAAAACTGGACTGGAAATAAACTACAGACAAAACTCAGAATATAAACTCAGAATGTAATTGTTTTCTTCGAGGTAAAAGAAAAAAGAAGCTGGTGCAGCCTAAGACTTATGCACTAAGAATTTCATTGGATTTTTACTTTCTACAAAGTTATTTACTCCGGCCTGGAAAGGTCAGGGAACATTAAAAGTTCCAGCCTAATGATCCAGGACTTTAGATCTTTATAAGTCTGTGGGTTGAGAATTTTTCTCACCAAAAATGATTGTATTTTAACATTAAAAATAACTGAGGGTAGAGTCTAATACAAAAACAGATCATTAATAGGATGAAGGTCTCGTTGATAATCACACCAGACGTTTGACCAATGAAGCAGAGAAACCTGCGGAGAAGTAATTAATACTTCACCCTGTTCCTATAAATCACATCACTTAAATTACTGGCATTTTCTAGCAAATAAGATTTTATTTTATTTGACTGACAAAGAAATACTTCCATTAAACAAGAACAATATTCAAAATTGTGTTTTTCCTTTTTTTTTGCATTTGTTCTCAATCAAAGATTTGCTGCAATAAAATAAAATAAAATTAAACTAAAACCGTCTTTATCCATAATAGGAATCTTTAACAGAACAACAGTAAAATAAAGTGACTCTGATATCAAATTAAAACATTTCAACATAGATTAAGGTCCTAATGCTCCCGTGAAATAAACGTTCTTTACAAGTCGGTAAGACTCCCAGGTCCAAAACGACTCCATAAAATTGACGTAACATAATTGAACAATATAAATGAATATCTTTGTGTTTGTCCATTAGCTTTTAGTGGAGGCTCCACCTACCTGGGCCCAAACAAAGGGAACAGGATGCTGGAGTTTCTGAGTTGTAACAAAGACAAAGCAGCACCTGCAACAGAATAATGAAATTAAAAAATGTTATTATCAAAGACAAAGACAAAACACTAATCATACAACAGCTGATGAGACATGGTGTTAAAAAAAAAAAAATTAGCTCATGTTGCATAGCTCTTGTCATGATATTTTGAGCAAGTTAAACTAAACACACTAATCTTGGCAATAACGTACATACTTTATTGTTCGATATTTATAATATTTAACCCAACATTAATATTTAGCACAAATCTTTTTTGTGCTTTGAAGCTCGGTTTAATGATCCAGTTTGAATCTGCTACGTGGACGCTCGGTGGAGCAGCGGCGTATCAGTATCAGCACAAATGCAATCAAAGCAGTTTGTTGGGTCAAACATCTCTGGTAACAGGTCTAATTAAATCTGTGTCAGGTTCTCGGTACAGGTACACCCACCGCTGCACGCACGCAGGAGGACGGAAATCAATTTTCTCAGCCTGCATCCACGGGTGAACTAATTTCAATGATTTTTGCCCCAGTGTAGCAGGACGGAAAGATGGAGAGGAGTACGCCAATGGGCAAGTTCAGCATGAGAAGATCGAACCTGGATGCCTCTGTTTCACTGTGACTACTTCATGATGTCAATAAGTATTTAAATACGACATTTACTGCAGTTGTGAATAAATGAGCAATACCCCGTCTGCTGTCCTGTAAGTGCCCCAGGTAAGATGTGTTACTGTTCACAGGCATCAGGATTGGTTGTGGTTTCACCAACAGAGGAGCGCCACCTTTTGGATGATAATGCTCCTTTTTCTGCGTTCGACTGCAGGAGCTGGAAATACTGCTGTGTTGGATCACTTGAGGCACCTTTCTCAATGTCTGAAAAGAAAAGAAAGTTCGATTAAGTAAACTTTCATTCAGTTCACACTGAATTTGCTAACGTAAAAGTCAAGAAATGATGCCTCTGTTGGCGCTGCCTCAGGCTGAACCAGATCTGGGATTGTTGAAGGGCTGGACTCTGTAGGACTTGTTGGGACGGTAGAAGGACCTTTGGTCTCCGAGGCCTGGCCTTGTTCATCACAGCTGAGTGCTTGGTCCTGTTGCAGATCAGCAAATGGGTTAATCTTCGTGCCGTTTGTGATAACATAAAATCATCATCACGCAGTCCATCTTCCTCATGGTTCTGTGATAAAGTCAGCGGTGCACACTGCCTGGTCAGCAAAGAAACAGTCCTGCGTTTGAGAATTTCAGCAGTCAGCGGTTTGAAAGGCATATCTGTGAACGCTAATCTTCAAGGACAACAGAGGGCAGTAATGGTAGTTGTTTAAGGCAACAATAAGCCTGTAGTAACAGGATGAGTGTTCAGATGTGGAGCTGCTTCAGTTGGTCACCTAGTGACATCATCAACATTATGTTTCTATGAATTCAATCACGATGCAACTTAATTTCACAAGGGGCTTATCCCGAGATGACGATGCAGGAATTCATTGAACTCAGGGAACAGGATTTATTATTTTACAAATGGATTGGCCACCACTGACATCAACCCAATAAAAAAGATTTGGGATGTATCACAGGAGACTGTGTTCAGCTGGCAGACTCTTTCATCGTCAACACTAATAATAATCAACATCTTTGTGACAAATTAATTGAATTTTGGATAGAAGAATAGCATTGGTCAATGTTGAGGTTTTGTTAAAAAAAAATACTACCTCAGTGAGTTTTGATTTTTGAATTTTTTGATGTAACAATGCTGTAACGTTTGTCAGCTTCATGTTTCCAAAAGAAGCTGAATGAATGTTTTCATTCATTCATGTGATTACATCATGATCAGAGTGAATCACGACTAATCATGAGCAACCAACATTTCTGTATATTACTAGGACAAACACACCTGCTTTTATTTGTGACTAATCCAAACGATGGAATTATTAAAAAAAGAGAACTGTCCAGAAAATGTTTATATGAAAATGTTAACTATATCCCAAAAGTTTGGTCGTTATTGTGCAAACTTGACAGTTGCTTTCAAAACTTTAAATTAAAAAAACCTTTACAATATTAACCAGTCTACAGTCCATCACAGACCATTTGCCAATTGTGTCAGTCGTACTTGACCAGAAGTAAAAACCTGGGATTTTAAGTCTGAGGTGCTTGGAATAAACACAAACTCTTTTTGGCAGTGTGTGCAAAACAAATACATGAGTGGATGGTTAGTGGAGTTATTGGCTCTACATAGTGTATTCTGCAATTGTTTGTCTAATTAATTTCACAAATTAATTAACCTGGTTAACATGGCTAATGTTGACAGACTCAGTTCACACTCAATGCCACAAACACGACAGAAACTTGGATGAAAGGGTCTGACCTCCCAGTTCTTTATGAACTCCGGTGCAGGAATCTCTTCTTCTTTTCCCTGAAACAACAACAGGGACACAACCAGTGATTAATAAAAAAATATATAGGCATTAAAACAGCAGGTGCAGCAAAAAGTGCACAGATGTTGTTAATGTTTTTTTTTTTTTCATGAGTTAAAGGATCAGTTGCTTCATTCAAAGAACAGCGTTCACCTCATTAGTCACTCCTGCAGGCATTACACAGTCCACTGACTGACTGTCATCTTTTTTATTAGCCAACAAAAACTGTGACCTTCCAACAGCCTGACTACGCATTTGGCAGCACTGGCCTCGCTCTACCAACCCACACGCCTTCAATGTGATGTGTGTGTGTGTGTGTGTGTGTGTTTGCTGGTGTTTGTGCACCAGTACAGTATGCATATTGAGCGATGTTAATCCTGCAGCACTAACACAACATCCACTGAGATATGCAACAAAAAGTGTGCTTATAGCAAAATAAAAAGATTTTTATTTGAAGCGGGGGAAGTGCAAATATTAATAAAAAAAATTTCAAAAGAAGAAAATCTGCAAAAAAAAAAAAAACTTTTTCAAAAGGTTCAGCACCACAGGAGGGGAGCAGCAGTAAACTACTAAAAAACTAAAGGGCTGGAGAATTATCAGGACTTTTAAAAGAATTTCATAGTAAACTACTAAAAAACTAAAGGGCTGTAGATTTATCAGGACTTTCATAAAAAATATGAATTCTTTGGGGGTTCATGGTATTATATTGTGACAGTGATTTATTTCTGGTTTTGTAATCTGATGTATGAATTATGAATGTTCCAACATTTACAAAAACGTTCCGTATCCTTCTGAAGGTCGACTAAACTCCTGACTTCTCAACAACAAATTATGTTAACTTGATGTCAGAAAAATCTAAGTGCAGCTGAGCTATTTTTATTAGTTGTTAAATATTTTGGGACTAAATAATAAATGAAATTTTGTTATGGTGCTGATTTATGACAAGAACTTTTTTACTGTCTCTGTGTTTCATTGTTATTTACAACCCTTTTTCATTTTAATTTTGTTGGCACTTGTTCTAAGGCTTATGATGCAATTTTTAAATTTAGTCGCATATTAGTTTACAGTCCAGTAAAAAAAGGTTGTGGAGTTTCAAGATTCTGAAGTTTGGACACTATCCACGCTTTTCTATATGTATGTGTATAACACCTTTAGTTTGGCTGAGGATGAGTGTTGCTGAGTGCGTTTCTGCTCAGTGGACGTTAGTTCTTCTGCTAACTCTGGCAGGTGAAACGTTCCCTTCCCCAGGTACAGGCTCACTGGACTGAACTGCACGCAGAGCTGAAAAAGCGACAAAGGAAACAGGGAAAACTGATTAAAAATGTTTGATCACATTAGTGTATGTTTGATATATTAAAGTATTGATTGTATCACAGTCAGAGGGCGGAGTTTTCAGTGTGAATGACTCACTGCTTCACTCTCGGCACAGCTACAGGGTGTTGCGTGTCCTTGGAGTATCAGAGCTGTGTGGACATAAACGTCCTCCGCTGTGTGCGTGTCACACAAAAAGAGCTGCAACACGTCTCCTGTGTAGCAATCGAGAGCGCCCACTAGAGGACGATCACAGCACAGCTTGTGGAAAGATGATGTAGCCTTGTCAGTCCAGCTGCCCTGCAAAATATAAACCAAAACAAACACAAACTTTTTGACAGAAATAGGCTGCCCTGCAAAATATAAACCAAAACACTAAACCAAGACTTTTTGACAGAAATATTTGAATACATGTACACAGTATCTTGTAAATTTGGAGCATGAATATCCATTAAATAACACAATGTAGAATAATTACAAAATTGTTTGGCAGAAGTATGCATTAAGTTACTACTAAACCTAATATTAATATTAAATGTACTCACAGTACTTGGTTTAACTGCAGCAAGTGATGAGGGTACAGCTTGTGCTGGAATAACAGAATAACAAAACCTAGAAAACAAAAATATTATAAAACACACACACACAGATCATGTAGTGGCAGAAGACCATGGTGCAGCTGCTTTAGTCTGTGAGAAGACCCTACTTCAGGAACATCAGTTGGTGGCTCAGTACGACAGTGGTATCTCCGTAGTCAACAAAGTACACTTGGACCTCAGTGGGGCTTATGGTTTTGTGAATCACCACTCGGTAAAACCACAAATCCACAGGTGACACACAGCAGACCTGACCTTGTCTGATGAACCGTTTAGGAAGGTGGTAGCGCTGAGCTACATCAGAGCAAGAGTAAAATCTCCTACAAGAGAAGAGAACGAAAGAATAGTTTTGTGGCTGCGCTGTAGTGACTACCTGCGTAAGAGGTTTTGTTTCTACCACCTCATGTCAATCATCATCTCCTCCATGGCCTGCGCTTCTTCAGTATTGCAAAAGCGAATGTAGAATTTTCCAGGTGACTCCACATGTTCCACCAGGACTTGAACAAGCTCTCGAGCATCGTGGCGTGTTGGTGGTTGGAGATATTGACTCTGCATGGCATCCAGTGGCACAGTGGGACTGTTATGGACCTGGATGTCAGTGTAGACACCAGGTACCTTTAAAGATTAAAAAAAAAATACTGCATGTTTTTTTTATATTGTGCATGACATCATGAAATAAATTAAGGAATTACAAGTGCTTATAAAAATTACAATGAAGTTTAAGTAAAAAGACAGGCCTTACAACTTTCTGTATCTTGGGATCTTTCCTGATCTCCAGGTCCTCAGTTATAGTTTCCATAATATTTTCATTGTCCACTTGCAGTTTGCTCTCCCAAGGAGATATTTTAGAGTTGAAGTGACTTTTCATATGTGGTTGCTTTACATCACTGCCATTTTCTAAAAAAAGACGTGTAAAATATGTGAGATTCACATGTGAAAAAAAAGTGTTTTTGTTCAAACTGAAACTATTTTCAGAAGAACAAATCTTCCCTCACTAATTTTTATTGAGTTTTCATTCACACCTTGCAGTGTAGCGTGACTGCCTTGTATTAACGTGACTCTCAAATCTTGTCCTCTGTCGCCCTCTGCGGGTTTAAGGTGGAAGATGTTGCTCATGGCACTGAGCAGCTCAGTGACGCTAAAGAAACCGCTCTGTTGTAGAGGCAGCTCCTCTCCAAAAAGCTTCTAAAGAACAAAATAAACACAGAGAAACTTTCATTAACGACACAGTGTGATTATTATTCGGTCTATGTAAATGTTTTACTGCGATTTAAGACAAATATGTCAATAAGTGAGAGACATGGCTGTTTTTTTACCTTATACTCAGCAGGCAGAGCATGAACTGATAGACCAGCACTGGTCCGGCCTACAACCTGCAGTGGAATTTGGTTTGTGACAAATTTGTAACAGTTTGGGACAATATATTGCAAGTTAATTTGAGAACTTATAGAGATATCAAAACATAAGTTAAATACAGAAATGTATATGAAGCCTGGAAAAGCCTGACCTTTTGTAGTTTGTCTTTTAGCTCCTCACTGATGGAGCTCACAACTCCAGCCTCCAAAATACACTGATGAAGCTCCTCTTCCAACTGGGTTCCAATTTAGAATAATAAAAGAAGACACTTACACATACTTTTACATAAACTATACAAACTACTTGAATAAAACCTCAATAATTTGGCAGACCACAACCTCATGGTTGTCTAATTCTACCACCACGTTTATCAATTCTCAATATGTAAAGTATATACCACAGACTGTTGCTGCCCTTTTATGTTTCTCTGTTTTCTCCTAGTAAATGTATAATTTAATATATTAAATGAACCTTCTGTAAACACTGCTGTGGGTGATGATCTTCCTGTTTGGGCCGTGTTTCATGTTCCTGGTTCTTGTCAGCACAATTTGTTCTGTTACTTTCAGTTACTGACTCCTTGGGTTCCTTCTTGTTTTCAGCAGGTTCCTGGATCACTGGACTCTGAGGATCTTGATTTAGAGATCACATGGGGGGAAAAAACTGTTGACTGCTTTGTTAACTGTCACTAAATTGGATGACATAGCATTAAAATATAGAATAGGAGAGGGTATTATATGATTAAATCAATTATTTGGAAAACCCACCTGGGGCTGTAGTCGATTGAGAGCTGGCTGGCTGACCTTTGACTGTTGGCTTGTCAGTCCTGAGTGTTTGAGGTTTCTTTACTGTTGACTTAGACCAGATCTGCAGTGACCTGGGCAGCATGCAGTCCCTCAAAACTACAACTGAGCCCACCCTGCTCTGCTGGATCATGACCAAGTCTGGTGCTGCCCCCAGCATCTCTCCAGTGGAATAGAACCCATAGCTGTGCACTCGCAGAGGTTGACCAAAACAACGCAAGTAGCAGGACTCCAGATCAGATAACCTGAGGGGACCCTGGAAGAGAGTACAGTTTATTAATCACAAGAGAGACTCTCCTTAAGAGTATTTCATTACTTAATATGACATACCAAACAGGACAAAAAGAACAAGCATTCATTATGTTAAAAGTTTCGGGATATAAAAATGTGAGACCAAACTTGTGAGAGGAGGATGCGCAGCTGTGTTCTGAGTTGAGCAGGTACAGGTGGAGGAACATGACCTTTTCTGGGTAGAACCACAAAGGGGTGGGTGTGTTGAAGGCGAGTTGAGGTGTATCTGGCACTGCTGCTCCTGATTTTCTTGTCAGCCTTACATGTTCGCTGGTTGACTACTAGCTCTTGAATTTTCTTCGTGGCATCGTTGCCAACAGCTGTAAGGACAGAAACCAAAGCAAGATCACAACACTACATTTTAAGATCTAAAACCAAAGCAAGATCACAACACTACATCTTAAAAGAACTCGGAATGTGTCATCGCTGAAAACACAATACAAATCTGAGATAATGTTTTGCAACATCCTACCCTTTAAATAAGTAGAACCGTCTGCTCTATGGTCGACAGATACCGTGTCGGGCATCTCCTTTACCATGTCCATTATGTTCCTGAAACCCAGCGGTTTCAGGGGTAAAGGACGCCCTAACAGTTCAACATAGTCTCGTCTGAGCTGCTCAGGATCCAGACCTATCTTGGATGAAGTGAGCAATGAGCGAATGTCCTTCTTCAATTCTGCCAAAACCTCTTGCTGGCTCATCTTGGCTAAAAATAATAATTAAAAAAAAAACACAAAAACACGAAATGGTTATCACTGTTGATTTATTACTGCAGAAGGATCATATAGGGGCTAAAAGTTCTGATAGAAAATGTATTCTCAGTAGTACTGTGCCATAGTGGCCAAAACAGTGAAAAAGTTATGATCTCAGCATCTCACTACTGTGGACTAAACAGAATGACGTAAATGTACGTTAGACATTTTCCAGTTTCCATTATTATCTATACGATATCCTGACTGGTTTCGTGAATACGATATCAGTCAATAATAATTAAATAACTTCATTAACAATCTTTGTTGAATAATTTCCTCACTCATAAGTCGTTGGTTTGTTGTGCAAACTATTCTGTAATACAGCTTGCTCACATAATCGTGGAACATATCTGAAAAGTAAATGTATTTTAGCTTCTATTTTCCCATTGTTTCATTGACCAACCCATATCAAATCATAACGTTTGTACCGCAATTTCAACCTCAATCTGCTACTAGCTATTTCAGATTAAATGAGCCCCCATCCGTGATTATTGTACTGCGTGAGAATCCAAAAAAACAATATATCGTTACTAGTGTATATACAGTTGTACTTAAAAAAAATTAAAGAGACAATGTCTAAGCATTTGAAAATATTCTGAGAGAATAAGACTTTACCAGAATGTTCGATGTGACTGTCTGTTGTTAGCATGTAGCCACAGCTGAACTTCGGGACTTCACACCTGCGGCTGTGTTACGGTGTTTTCTGTTGAATTCAAATGGACATTTATCAGAAGGGGGTATAAATGAAAACCTAAACGATAAACTGAACAAATTCCAATGTTGTAGTTAAGTAGGTTTCTAAATAGTACGATTAGTAGTTGTACACACACGAGATGATGCGTTCATGGACACCACGGTATAAGCTCTTGGTGGATTGGTAGTCATAGTTTGTTTTTCTTGTTAAAAAAAACAAACTATACGGCAGCAACGAAAGAAACATAAAACAGGGATATATATTTGATTCTATGTATGCGTAAAATGTATAAGAAACTACAGCAAATCTACAACAAATCACATGAATGATCGTTCAGAATTCACATCGGTCATTTGAGCGTTGAAAAATGTAAATATTAAAAATGTTGACTATATAAATATATATGCAAACATTTTTTTGCTTGTGTAAGGTAAAAAAAATACTTAAAAAGCATAAAGTTAAACTGTAATAATCAAAGCTCATTTTAAAAAATGTAGAGTGGATTTTCCTAACATTTATAAACAACAAGAAGTAGAAGTAAATAATGTTCAAAATTCTAAGCTACAGGGAATAGAGTATGATAAGGTCAAAACAGATATGGTATTTATTTACCTAGTGACCTGAATGAGTAGGTTTGACATGAACAGTGTTTATAATTAATTTAGTTTAATTTGGGTTTGCAACAGGGGAGGATAGTGGAGATGTTTTCTTTGGAGAAAGAAAACATTCATCAGATTCCTCCATCTACGCATTCCTCTGAGGACACCCTTTGGTGTTACTCTGTTAACTCACCAATGGAGGCAGTATTACTGTACGTATATGAAACTACAGTTTGGAGTTACATGGGTTGAGATGAAATTTCAGTAAATATTCCCAAACATTCACTCACATGATTCTGTGACTTACACAATACTGGAAGCCTGCTGTGATTTTTGTGTAAAACTTCTCCCCTAATGGGATGAAATGTGGGGGTTATTTAAGGCGATGTGGGTTTTTAGAAACCTTACAAGAGACAGGACCTGGAATTGGTAACAATTTACTCATGAGATTGAAATTTGTGCCGATATCTCTATGTTTTAAACAATAAAACCCGAGAAACTTACAAGGCAGAACAATAAGATTTGATATTTGTAACTTATATCCTCTGTCATTCTAGAATCTTTTCCCGCTGACCATAACAAAACAATAAAGCAGTGTAACACATGGCACTCCCACAAACTGTACTCCTATTCACAAACAATCTGACTCAGAGTCCACAGTTCCCTACAACAGCGGGAGGAGGAAAGAAGCAAAAAAACTAACCCTAAAGCTGCAGAAGATTTTAAGCAATTTCTCATTTAAATCTCAAAAGCAGTCATTTTTTTTCTCCTGGAAAATATGGAGAAGACCTCCAGCGTCCATTTTAACAACGGGACAGAATTTAAAACAAAACCCAAAAGGGAGAGTGAAAGGGAGGCAACAGCAGCATCATCAAGTCATCGCCAAAGGACTTCCAAGGCAGGCCGGCTTCCTGAGGCGAGGAAAGAGAGACGACAGAGGGAGAAACAGAAGAGAAATGAGGAACAGGAAGGAGAGTTGAATTTAAAATCCACTGTGGTGGACATTGACAAAGTAAGAGATGATCGTGTCAAAGACGAAAACCTGGGGCTACTGGAGGCAGCAGAGCAGGAATATGGTGAGACTTTCTATTTAACGTAGAAAAGCAGACTTTATACTTTTCCCTCTGTTATGTTTGGAGATTTTATTATATATATATGTACTTTAACTCAGCAGGTTCGAAGCACAGAGGACTGGGGGTCTTTGAGTGGCTGCTGATTGTCCTCGTCATGACGTTGGTTCTTGTCTTCTTCCCTCTGTCCATATGGTTTTGTGTCAAAGTACGGACTGCACAAGAAACAAATATGACACAAATATAATTTATTATAATTTTACATATATATATATATACAATAGAACACACAGCATTAAAAATGTGTACATTAATAGCTTTTCTTAAATATATAACACAAACATATGAAATATTTGTAAATCAAGGAGAGGACAAAAAGGATATTTTATAATTTAAATTTAAGCTTACATCATATTGTATGTATATTTTCCTCATGCAAATAGAATAATCATAATAAAGATGAACTGAAGTAATTTGATATTTCAGCCTCATGTATTTCCTCATAAAAACTAACAAATGTCTGTTCTTTGGAGTGACAGATAGTCAGGGAGCACGAGAGAGCTGTGGTCTTCAGACTGGGTCACCTCCTGCGTGGAAGACCCCGAGGACCAGGTTAGCAACCACACAGTTGATGAAGGTCCCAATCAAGAAAATATGTTTTAATTTTGATTGAGATTTTCCCTGCACTTGACAGTCACAGAAAATGAAAATAAAATAAAAGTAAATTATCCGGCTCTTTATCAAATATTTTTTTCCCTTCTTTTCAGGCCTGATTTTTTATCTCCCACTCCTTGATGTTTGTCACAAGGTCGACATTCGACTGAAAATGATGAAGATTCCTCTCCATGTGGTACTGAATAAAATTATTATTATTTTTACTAAAGTATAGTCACAAGCAGACGCAAATGTAAATGTATCAGCTTAAAAATCTGTGTACATGTGTATGTATACACTCACACTCTTTGTACACAGGCGGTGACGAAGGACTTGGTGAGACCAGAGCTGAGCGCGGTGTGTTATTACCAGATAGAGAACATGGCTCTGTGCACCACGGCTCTGTCCGATCTGACCTCCCTGCTGCAGACTGTGGTCCAGGCCGCAGTCAGAGATGTCCTGGCCCAACATGCCTTCAGTCACATCCTGCAGCACAGAAGGAGAATCGGTCAGCAGGTCCAAACTGCTGTGGACTCTGTCGCCTGCCGCTGGGGCATCAGGGTGGAGAGAGTGGACATGTAAGACAAAAAAACACTCAAAATTTGCTAAACACGTATTCCCAATGTATTTAGAAAGAACCTTGGAGGCCAAAAACTACGAAGCTGCTGTTGAAAACTGGTTTCCTTTTCATGCAACACTTTCCAGAATTAAAAAAAGGTGATCATCATTAACATTCTGCTTGTTTTTTTAATTTCTATTAGAGATGAGGTCACCTTTCCTGTTGGGTTACAAGAGAGTCTGGCTGCTGAGGCCGAGGCACAGAGACAACAACAGGCCAAAGTAAGAAAGCATCACTATTTTTGCTATTTTGTAATTTTTGCTAAAATCAACAGAAGTGCAGATTTGACCTCAACAGTATAACTGATACCACAGACAACTGCTCAAATCTTAGTTCCTATTTAGCTGGTTAATATAACGTGTGTATATATAAAATGTAACTTCTAGTCTAGTCTAGCTGAAATTTTTTTTGATAAAATGTAACTTAAGTCTAGCTGAAAATTATTTTTTTGTTTTATTAATTTAACAGTTTTTGTTGCAGGTAAATGGGCTGAAATGATGTCCATTTACCTTCACTTCAAACCTACAGTTAAAGTCAAACCTCAATTCACATAAAAGAAAATCCTCCTTTTCTTCCAGGTCAAAGCTGCTGAAGTGGAGACAACAGCCTGGGAGGGGTTAAGAGCCTCCTTCCGTCACCTCCACCCTGCCCTGGTCCTCCCATTCCCCCCTGACCTCCTCAGTTTGACCTCCGACCAATCATCCTTACCTCCCCCTCCGCCTCCCGCTGTGGAGGAAGAAGAGGCAACGGTGACGGAGGGGGGCCGAGGAACAGACTCCCCCATGATGTGACTGTCAAGAAGGGTTTATTAAAATCATCAACTCCACTACATTTGTAGATTGAAACGCATTGTATCAAAGGCCAGTAAAGGGTAGTGTGATTTTAATGAGTATCAAGCAAAAGTTTAGACTTTTTATAAATATAATTTATGAATAATTTTTAAGACTGCACTTGTTAGGACTATAATAAAGTATAAAGAAGTCTCAGCCAAGACACTCAATAACAAAAAAGATGCTTCAAAAGCAACTTCAATAAATATGTTGTTGTTAATTTTATATTTTTGTATTAATATATTGACATTCTTTTTCTCGAGCAGCATTTAAAAAAAAAACAGATCAGCGTTTCTTCGCCCTTTTGCTGTTTGTGGATCTGCCCTCAGGGTTTGTTTTTTTGGGAGGATGCTGGTGAACTGCTGCTGGCGGGGGAGGCGGTGGAGATGGGGAGAGTGGTGGAGGTGTTGGTGTTTTCTTTGTTTCTGAAACACAAACAAACTAAGGTATGAGAACCCTCCAGTCTGTGTGTGTGTGTGTGTGTGTTACCAGCGGTGGTATAAAGTGGAGTCTTTACCGTCATCACTCTTGAACTCCAGACTGGGCCGACCTTTCAGTTGTTTCTCCAGCTCTAGAATCTTCTCCATCGCCGCCTGAAGGTCTTCTTCAGCTTTTAGAGCTCGCTGCTCTGTTTTCTGGAGCCGTAGCTCAGAGTCACTGTGGAACAGAAGAAGAAAATCACAGAAAATCTGCTGCTGGATCGTCACATAAAGATAAAAAAGTATTCTTTCACTGAATGTTTTGACTAAAATAGGTTTATTTGCATTCATTGAAGAAATAATTCCATATAAACATTTCACTGAATCTAAACTTACTGGAGTTCCTGCTGTAATAATGTGATAGTGTTCAGGTCACTGAAAGCCGTTTGAGTGTCCTCTGTCGCTGCAGAGACCACCAGTTCCCCGGTCTTACAGGCAGAGCAGAAAAGAAAAGACAGAGAAACAAAACAAATATATCAGTGGAATAAAACTGTCGAAGACAAAAACTTTAGTTCAGTCAAACATGTGTGATGTGAACAAGTGTGTGTACGATTCATCGGTCTGACCTCACTCAGGTGGATGCTGCTTTCATCCAGACTCCTCTGAGCGATATTTCCATCATAGTCAATGAACTTCAACACTGCTGACTCACCAACTGACAGCTCCTCCTGCAGGACAACCACAGCACTGCTGACTGTTCGGAATGAGTGAGTGAGTGAAAGGGTGAGAAAGTGAATCAATAAAAGAGAGCAAGTGAAAAACGAGAGTGAGGTGGTTAGTGAGTGAGACAGTGAGTGTGTGAGTTACTAAGTAGAATGAGAGGAAGAGCCTGAGGTAGTGAGTGAGTGAAAAAGACAAATTGAGAGCGTGAGAAAAAAAGTGACAAACACATTCGTAAAGTGCAGTTAGAAACAGACTACTACACTCATTAAAGGATGTAAAAGTACCTCACATGTGCCTCGATGTAGTTTTTCGTGTTCCTCACTTTTGCTCTTTGAAAAGAAGAAAAGTATTTTACCAGCTCAGAGAAGGAACCATCTTCATAATTACTGATATTTAATTAATTAACCCAGTGAAAGGTTACAGCATGTACAACGGTTGTGTTTTTCACAAACTCACATTTCTCAGTTCTGCCTCAGTTTTATCTTTGTCCTCGGTGGACGTGAGAGGATCTACTGACAGATCTCCCTTCTCCTGTAAACATACAAAAATATTATAACATTATATTTATTTCTATAAACATATTTACAAGTTAAATAATAAAACATAATAATAAGTTAAAATCACTGAAGTCTGGCTGCCATCTCCTGGCAAAGCTGAGATATAACTCCTGGAGGAGGTGACAGGCTGCACCTCCACATTATCGCCTTTAAACCCTGAGAGCAGGATTACACAGGTCTCTGTCCAGTCCGTGCTCTCATTCTAAAAACATAGAAACAAAAAAAAATATGGCATGTGACGTACATTCAAAGATTTGCTCCGCCTACTGGACTGTAAAATATATTTTACGTAGTTTGTTGTTTGTTTTTTTACCTGTAGCTTCCTGCACTCATCCATCTCATCATCATTCTCAGTTTGATGTGACAAAGTCTGCTGCTCCATAACCAGCTTGTACACGCTGAGTTCTCAGTTTGATGTGACAAAGTCTGCTCCAGAATCAGCTTGTACACGCTGAAGTCAAAGACAAATATTTACTGAGGAGTAACTTTCTCATCATGTCCTCCTCCTTCTAAATGATCATGTCTCAAATTATTATTTAATTGGCTTTATTTGATCCAGACAGACAAGAGCTTCAGTACCTTGTGATGATTCCAGAAAAACTTTCCACTTTGTCAGACAGAAGTTTGGCCTCTGCCTCCAGGGTCTTCACTGAGACGTTACTAATGTTCAGAGGATCGTGGTCCTGCTCCTCACAGTGGTCAGGTACCATCAGGAGCAGAAGGTTAAACATCCAACGGGTTTGAGCAGTGTGAATAGATCTGACCTGACAGGAAAATAAACAATGGACAAAATCTTGTCAGTTTCAGGACAAAAAAGTTTCAGGACAAAAAAGGACCTTAAAGGAATTTACCTCCTCAGTGAGTCTGTGGTTGTCACCATCAGTGAACTTATAAAGATTGGTTATAAACTCCTTCACTCTGTCCACGACCTCCTCTGTCTCTGTACTGTTGATCATAAAAGGAACAACCAGACTACAGCGTTTGAAAACAACACAGATTCTGACACTGACTGTTTCAACTCTTAAGTTAAAGATACAAAATGAAGAATTTAGATTCACAGACTGAAAATGTGAAGGAGAACTTACTGTATGTTTGGTGTGTGTTTGGACCCATCGCTTTCTCCTTCTTTCGTCTTCATGCTGGAAATATTCTGTATGTTTGGACCCATCGCTTTCTCCTTCTTCTTTCGTCTTCTTGCTGGAAATATTCTGTGAAACTTCTTCAGCAGAACTCTGCCATGAACAGAGGTCTTTCTCCAGCTGCAGCCAATCAGAAGCCGACATTGTGTCTGTCTGGTAATTTACTGCGTTAACCTTGGAAACCCAGGAATCCATAGACCCCAGCAGTGACATCACCCGTCCATACGTCCCTAAAAGAGCAACACATTTATTTTACATCTGAACGATCTGTAAACAGTTTTAATGAGACATTTCTTGTTGCTCCTCACCATTTTCTCCACTGGCCTGTGTGTCCAGCTGTTTGAGAAGCTCCGACAGAACCCTGACCAGGTCCTTTTGGACCTGTTCACTTTCGGGTGCCTCACCATTAGGACCACGGTGTCTGCCGAGCAGCTGGAGACTCATATTCAACCACCTCTCCTGGACTTGGCCGAGCTCCTCCAGCGTCTGCTGCCGACAAAAAAGCTCCTCACCTTCGTAATGTTCAGACAGTTCCGTTAACATCTGAGTAGAAGCAGAGCACAGGTGAAGCTGAATGAATATTAATAAAAGTTAAAGATCTTTCCAAAATGGCTGACATGATGAATGATGAAGGTTAGAAACATCACAAGTCAAACATCTTACTCTGGACCACTTCTTTAAATCAGCATGAACACCTTCCAGGGTGTCTTTTACCTCCTTGGGGTCATGACTCCTTGTTTATAAAAAAAAAAACATTTAAAAAGATGAACAGTAGAAACAAATTAAATTTACTTTGTTATTTATCTACAGGTTACAATAAATATCCAATATCCAACAGTAATATTATTTTAAATTACTCTAACAGACAGGGTTATATAATCATGGACGCAGTAATATAAAGATATTCTCCTACCTGTTCTCTGCAGAGCAGATGGCGATCATCTTCTTGATGCCTTTTTGGATAATGTTCATCTCTTCACACTGAATGTTCTCCATCTTTTTCATCTGGGCCATGAAGGCACCCAGCTGTTCTGTCCAATGGTCCGTGAGCTCCATGATGATGTTCATGTCCTCCGTGTCCTATAAAAAGGACAATCACAGTCTGATTCTGTTTTAATCCTGCAACAGTTCTCACACAGACAGAAGGAGAAAGACAGCGGTACCTTCGATGTGAGGTAAAAGACGCAGTTTTCTGCCGTTCTGAACCAGCTCTGCTCGTGAAGGTGCAGTCGTCTGACAAGCTCCAGCTTCTTCATGTTGATCACCTGACAATCACGGAGACGCATACTCTACCAGGACTGATTATACCTTTCAGGTAGGTAGTACTTATTTAAACACCTTGTAACATCCAAAAACAAAGTAACAAAAACTATAAAAATATTCAAAAGTAATGTGATAAAAATATCACAATATTTTTTCCGTCACCTTGAGGGCGAGGCTGTAGGTCAGCTGACTCCAGGAATCTCTCTCCGCTGTCGTCTGGAGGAGCTGAGCTTCGAGGCGACTTCTCTGTAGCTCATACAGCTCATGGTAGCCCTGGACCACACTGAGAAGAACACATGATTTATTATTATATTTAATATTTTAGAATAAGAACATAACCCTAGATTGGTTGAAAAAAACCCATATCTTCATGTTTTTGTGATGTGTTGGTTTTGGGTAGTGGATAAAATGAGTGGATCAAGTAACAGCAAGTAACAGTGGTCAAGCTGAGGATTCTGTCAGTGTTGACGAAGACAGTTTTAAATGTCCAAAAAACTGACTCTGAGCTGGTTTGTGCTTGTTGAAGCTCGTCGGTTAGGTGCTCATGAGCAAGTTCTGTTTGCTGGGAAACAAACACATCGTGGTCTCTGATCCTGGACAGTTCCCTGTTAGTATAAAAGAAAATAAAGAAAAAAAGATAAAAATATAATAAGACACAGAATAAGTGCTATATTTTCATTCTGAAAAAGAGAACATTTAAAATTCCTATTTCAGATATTTCATTTTATGACCCAGTTGCCTGAGCCCCATCTACAGTACATACATGCTGAGTTGCTGGAAGTTATCCTTGATGTGATGGATCTCTTCAGTGAGCCTGCGATCCAGTGCTCGCTGTGCCAAAGCCTCAGTGTGAAGGGCCTTCAGACGGCGGGGGATTCGCTCCAGCAGTGACTGGTAACGCTGTCTGGATACAGAGACATAAGATACGCTGATAAGAACAGACTTTTTACTGCGTGATATTACTCAGCTTAAACGTTAAGTTCAGTGTTAAATGAAGTTAAATGCTGGATTCAGTTCTTAGCAATGAAAAAGTACATCTAGTCTAACCTGAGTTTGGCGAGCAGCTGTCCTCTCTCAGCACAGCCAACGCTGACCTGCCTGATCGCTTCATGGAACACGATGTTGTAGATGTTCTGCTCGGCCTGCACCAGCTCCAGCAGACCCTCCATCTTGATATGGGACAAACACTACTTACATGTCAATTGGTAACTTTACCATTGTTTCAATTCCAATACAACTCAACTTCATTGGTTCCACTGGTAGTTAGGGGTAACATGGTGTCAACAAACAGAAAAAACAACAACATTCCTGACCAGATTAAGTCCATTAGAAGATTTTAAAATGACGTTGTGATGGTAACAGATCCCCTGCTTTGTGATCTTTTGTCAGTCAGTTTTTTGATGAATCCAGGTCTTGATTTAAATACAATAATTTTTAACCATAAAGTTCAGGTGGTGCCTAAAAGTTAAAAGATTTTACTTCAATTTGTTGATGCAAGAAATACAAAAACATATATATTTAACCATCAGTGTAGGTGTGCAGTCAATCAGCGGCCTGTGTACTGTACATTCTGTTTCTGTATCAGCTGCAGTTTCTTGCCTGTGATAGCTGAGTCAGCTCCTCTCCCTGCTGATCCACCCCAGCCTTCTCCAACATGTCATCCATCATCCTCATCAGCTGCACTGCCTCTTGTCTGCCACTGGGTCGTCTGGGTGAAAAGAACACGCCCGCTAAATCTGTTTAACTTCACTCCCAAACATTCTTCGTTCATCACTTATCCTATCACAGTGGTTCCCAGAGGGGAGTAAAACGGGGGGTGGAGTGGGTGGCTAAGCTAGACAAGAACAGTAAAAGATCTCAGTCAGTCTCACAGTGGCAAAATGAAATGACCTCTGATTGTATTCTATCATTACATGGAAATATTAGTTTTGTAGAAATAATGGTAAAGTTTGGGAACCAGTATTGCTCTCTAATTCTCTACCAGAATTATTCAAATAACAATTACAGAAAAATCTAATTAACATTTAAAATTCATAAAACTTACAGTGAAGGAAAGACTCGTAGTTTGTGTTGGTCGTCCTGCAGCTGCACCGTGAAAGCACTGAGATACAAATGTAACACAATCGGTTTAAAGGTGCATACAATTTAGATGAAATTTAATAAAATTTAGTATTTTATTTTTCCTGAAATTGTGAAACTGCAATATTGCAGCAGATAAAAAACAGTAATTCGGTAATATTTGAGAGTAGTAACAAAGCAGTAGCATGTAAACTTTTCCATTTAATATTTAATATGAAACTGTCTCTGGGCCCATTATTTTTATTGACACGAACTCACTCTTCAAACAACTCCAGACTTCGTAGACCTTCATTTTTCACAACGCGATATTCTTCTGGGATCAGACATTCAGAAATACTCAAGTCCTGAAAGACAAACACTCACACTGTACACCTGTTCAAGTTGATGGTAAGTTACTGCAACGTTAGCATTTACTACTGACAAGTACAGTGTATACAAAAAGTATGAACAAAAATGTGCTGAATGAGTTTTTCAATGAATCATTATTGTTTACTGATTGATCAATCAGTTTTAAAATTATTAAAAAAAGAGATAAATAGAGTGCAAAAAAAAACAACCTCAATCAGTTTTAAAATTATTAAAAAAAAGAGATAAATACAGTGCAAAAAACAATCAAACAAACAACTACACCCAACAAATGAATTATACCTATTCTTGTGCAGGAATCAAACAGTGTTGTTAAAATAAAACACTCAAAGGTTCACCAGTTTACCTGTAAGTCGCTGGTGTTCCTGTCAGTCAGTGGGGGGAGATGTGTTGTTTTCTTTGCACTCACCATGGCATCACACAGGAAGGAAATATCCCTGAATTTACACACAAACAAATCAAACTTTGAGTTGCATATATGTCACTCCACCTCTGACTGTTGATGCCGCAGCAGGTGTGAGTGTCTCTGCCCTCACGGACCTGCCTGCTCCGCTCAGGGAAGTCGGCTGTTCAAGGAAGTGTCTGTATTTCCTACGTCCACACGGGCGATGCCAGACCGGATCTGGTCGTCTCAGTCCACAGTCCTTTCAAAACCAAACACATCCCATAACCTCACTGATGCCAACGGATTCTCAGCAAGCGTCCTCATTTTAGCCTGAACTTACTTTGCATTGTCGCTGGTGTGCAGTGTGTCCTACTGAGCTCCTGTTGCACACAGTGGAGCTGAGGCTGAGCAGCAGTTCATCTGGGATCACTTGGTCGTTGAAAGGAGGAAGCCGTGTGTTTCTGCTCTCTGCTGGGGTTTCCAAGCTCAGCTCTGTCACAGTGAGAAATAACAATTCTACCCCAGAGTTTGACCTTTGGATTGGATACTGTAGGTTCCGAGTCAAAAAACAGTAGCCAATCAAAATTATGAGACAATAAAATCTGCAAAATTACAAACTATTTCCCAAAGACTAATTGCAATATATTTCTGATCCAGACCCTCTGTTCAAAACGTTTACTTTTCTTTGCATAACGAAAACAAAGAAAAGAAAAATAATTTCCCTGTGTAAAAGGCAAACAAAACAGTTCCAAGTACCAAGTGCAGGACTCAGGAGTATTAGTATGACATGAATAAGTTCCTCATGCAGCATCTTAGATGTTGATGGTCATGTCCTCCTGCCTTTTTTTATTTATTTACTGTGTAATTTATTAAGCATTTAAAGTCTGACCACTCACAGACCAACAGGATGCAGTAAAGTTGCAAACTGCAGATTTGAGTCTTTAATGCTTTAAGGAGGGAAACAATTATTTTTGGAAATGGTGAAGTTTTGCAGGTCTGTTTTCTGTCTTTATTTCTTATCTGTCTCTTTATCTTTCTGTCAGTTTATCTGCCTTTCTGTTTACTCGTCCTTCTATCAGTGTATCTGTTTGTCCGACTGTTTGGTGTCACTTTATCTCCCTGTACGTGTGAGTTGATAAGTTAACTTTGACGGAACGACAGACGTTTTAGTTTCACACTCCTGTGGTTAACCACAATGCTATCATGTCTTGTCATTTGTTCACCTGTCATTTTTTTTTGCACACCTAGTTTATCGATTTGTACTGACGGCTCATATTTCTACGTTTTTCCTCCGTATTGTCCTCCTCACCTCTGTGCTCCAGTGTTGGTCTCGGCCTCCATGAACCCGGGGCTGAGCTGACTCTGGTCTCAGGGGCAGACATGCTCTGCTCATTAAAACAAACTGAAATAAAACAGCGATAAAACTCAAAATCAAAATACGAAAGGCGCAATTTTCATTTGCTAAAATAAAACGAAAAGAACTTCTTTTTACGTCCGTCTCACTTCCTGGTCGCGTCACCATGGAAACGTCTTACTGGACGTGAACCCTGACGCAATGATACTAAACAAAACAAAACAAAATAAAATAGAATAAACGTATATATTATTTCTTTATTAATATATACACAATTGTCGAGTCTTTCAGTTCACTACAATAAATTACATTCTAAATATTATTTTTTAAATATATTTATGAATAGCTATTGACGTTGGTTGATCGGTAAATGCTAATGTTTTCATGAAACTAGCTAGCTTTTTAAAATGTTCGATAATAAGTTACTTAACTTATATCTACAGGCTGCAGGGAACAACAATGTTAAAACAATGTTTTTATTTCTTTTTTGTTTTAAATAAATGAAGGTACAATTGTTTCAAATGTATTTCCAGAGCAATGTTGTCCCTTATGGACTTCACATTTAGAAATGAAAATAACAATAAAAAACAAACAAACCATAACCCATAAAAATGTTCACAGGTAAAAATGAAAATAACAATAAAAAACAAACAAAAAACCCATAAAAATGTTCACAGGTAAAGCAAAAATGAATAATAGTACTATTTTTAATCAAAAACCTATTTTCTGAAAAATTGAAATTTAAAATTATGATCTAATATGTAACTCTTAGTACATTTTAGTCACTATAAAATAGTCTTAATTTACTTAATTATTTTTAAATCAATATATTACCACTTTTCACCCTGTTATTTTCCCTGACTTCAGTGTGCAGTACTTAAGTATCAGTATTAAGTAGTAATAGTATAATAAACTGTTTAGTGATGACTAATTACATTACATCATTTTAAGATTATTTTTTTAAATCTTATTTCTGCCGTCTTTCCTCAGCCTGTTCCTCACTGTGTTTTAAACGTTTCCTGGACACGAGTGCTCAAGTCCCTCCCATCATGTAATCAGTCAGCGGTGGGCTCTCTGTGCTCCCCCTTCATGTGTGATGAAGGCACTTGATGGTGATGCTCCAGCAGCAGGACAAGTGTGCATCAAGTGGCTCTGGAGTTGGCAACAGATGAGACACTGCAGCCTGGAGCAGGAGAAGCACAGACAGAAGGATCAGTGCACGACCAGACTTCATCACAGGGAGCAGGATGAGTCCCTGGCACGATTATGGATTTAATTCATTCTCGGTGTTTTGACTTGTTTCCCTGCACACTTCTGCTCACAACACTGTTCGTCATCAGCGGTGAGTAACTGCCTTCTTCAGCCTGTGATTTACTTCTTTCACTTAAGTTTTATTTTACTGTTTATTACCTTGTATGGTTGCATCATTAATTATTTAAATATCATATAATGCATGTGTGAATCATCATCAACAGTAAACACTTACTGTTGAAATATCTCTGGTGGAATAATAAATAAAAACATGTCTGATTTTAATGCTACAACCTCTGGATAAATCTAACAATCTTTGAAGAAGTTTGTGTGCTTTTTCATTTCACTCAGTCCATGATTGGAATTTTAATTACAAGACTGTGTGGTGACATCATGGCTGTGTTATTCCAAAAAGAGATCAACCAGTGGGGGTGAGGGTCGTGACACATGACCAGTCGGGGGTTGGCTCGTGTGAAAAAAAAATGGTGGTGGTGGCATGAATGGGGATGCTCTATTTAGGTCTCCACAAAACGTCCAATAGGATGTCTGCTTATCGCCACTGAGAGGCACAGACAGATTTACCGGCACCATGCATCAGCGCTGACGAGGTGTCCGGTGCTCCCCCATGTGCCGTTTGTAGGGTTTTCAGATAGGAGCAAACAAAGAGCCCTGGAACTCATTTACATTAGAAAAGGGTCTAACACTGTGGGAGGGGGGCTAGTGGTCGGCTGGTCCTGTGTTCAGAGAGAAAAAGGCTGTGAATGCTGTGAACTGCACACAGCTCTAGTTCTCAGATGGTTGGAAGTTAAGAAAACACGTTGTTGTCAAATCAGAGAGTTATTAATAACAGTTTTGCAGAAATCACAAAACATTTCAACACAATATGTTCAAGCACTTGGACAAACATAAAAGAGAGGATTAAATAAAATATTTGGGAATCAAATGGAAAGAGCACTGTTATACAATAAATTAATAAAATAAAATTTTGTAAAAAGTAAACAATCATTCAGCCTATATTTATTTATTTATTATATTTAATTTATATATATAAATATTTATATATTTATCACGGTTTTGCCACATGGTTTATTAATCCCCACAGACATCATATCCCTATCAGATCTCTGGTCTGTACTTTAGCTGCACTGACTCATGGTCTAGACCGTTCCAAGCTGCTCCAGGAGATTTCTGCCTGCTGTCTGTTCAAATTGATTGCCCTGCACCAATCACAGAGAGAGGACAATGGCCAACTTGCGGAAGACTGAGCAGCACTTCCTAATGAGCTCCTTTCAGGCCCTCAGAGTCTGATTAGGCTCCTGAGAGATGATTAGGATTCATGATTTTTGTAACAACTCGGTTTTTACACAGCATCCTAATAAAATCATTCTCTCTCCTCGTCTACATAATGTCACGCACACTCAAGTGTTGTCATATTCGACCAAAGCTGGGATTTTTGAATATTAAACAACTTAAGTGGCGTCTGATATAATGGAAGCAACACTTGAGCAGATGAATTTTTAGCGAGGCAGCACGCTTGCGAGTCCTTCGGTGCACATGCCATGGATTACATGGATTATTGCCTCAGAGCTAATCCCGTTTGTTCTGCCTGGAGTAGGACAGATTTTCAATGCCTTGAGGTGCTTCGCTTGGGTTTGATTATTCCAGGCATAGATTTTGGGAGGCAGCAGGTGGCAAGTAAGGGGTAGATTTACCATCAAGCTAGAAAGAAATATCTGCCAATTTAAACATTAAACAAAGGAGCTGAAACCTGATCTGTGGACAGAACAGAGTCAGTCAAAGATGTCATCATTATATACAGTAGAAAGTAAAGTAAAGTGTTTTACTTACTGTTTGCAGGACTTAATTAGCTGGCAATATATGAATACATTCAGCAAAAATAGGTCAAACTAGTCAAAGCTTAGCCAAAATGGACTCAAAGTAGTGTTTAAAAATATACCTAAATTATCAAAAAAAATTAACTTAAATAAGAGCTAAGTGTTAAGTGTTAAGTGTGTTTTTTTTTGCATTAAGAAATATAAAAATTAACTTAAATAAGAGCTAAGTGTTAGCCAAAAATATCCTAAAACAACAATACAAATTCTGGGACAGTATAAGCATTAATACATGCTTTTTCCTCTTTTTTTCTGCATTAAGAAATATAAAAATGATGATTATTTTACAGGTGCAACTCCAGACAGACCACATCAGTCTGTGGATCCCTGTTCTCCAAACCCGTGTCAAAACAGGGCAATATGTGTTCGGCACAACGACGGCTACATGTGCTACTGCGTGCCGGGCTTCCAGGGATCTCACTGTCAGTTCAATGTGAATGAGTGTATATCACAGCCCTGCATGAATGGCGCTACCTGTGAGGACAGGGTGGGCAGGTTCTCCTGTTCGTGTTCTCCTGGGTTTACTGGTGAGTGAGTAGAAACTCAGCTAGGCCAACCAGGTTGGGGAACCCTCAAATATTAACATCTAAACAGTAAATAATATGATTTTAAGGTGATTGGGTTCATTCAAAACCAGACAACTGATTTACAGTTAAGATAGATACACAGCGGTCTAGGCATTCCCTAGCGGTCTAGGCCTATAGAGGCACAGTTAGAAACCAAAGAAAAAAGAAAAGAAGCCAGTTTTGAATGACATCTCTAAGCACAAATACTGAATATGACTTGATGTCAACTTTCTAAAAGTCTATGTGTATATTTTAAGCATTACCTTGTAGGTACAGTACACTGCTGTTCCAGGTGTAAAACAAACAGCCCAAAGTGTCAAACACCTGTAGATGAAACAATATGATCACAGTCCGTCGACATGAAAGCTCTTTTTGATTTTCCACTCTCTGCCCTGTGTCCACTTCCTGTATCATCTGTGTCTTTTGAAATTCACAGGGGTCACCTGTGAGGTCGATATTGATGAGTGTCAATCACAGCCATGTCTCAGCGGCGGCAGTTGCCATGACTACCCCGGTGGCTTCAATTGCACCTGTGCGCCCGGTTTCCAAGGACAACGATGTGAAATCAACATCGACGAGTGCCGTGAGCAGCCTTGCCAGAACGGAGCTGTGTGTATAGATGGGGCGAATGAGTAAGTAGACATGGGAAATGATGGAGGTCCGGTTCAGAATGAACATTATTGGTCCAGCAAGGATAATGAGCAAGGAAAATATGTAGAGAATGTTAGTTCAAGTAAAGTCATTTTTGCATGTTAGAGTTAGAGATTTCTAAAGCACTGTCTACGACAAGTGAAAAAAAAACTAACAATTTTCTAATATTTATTTTTCAAAGATAAGAAAATATTTCATTTTTGTCATGGTCTCTACTGACAGTTGCTTATTTACTTTTAGTTCATTTCTCACCAAAAATCAATAAATGGATCTTGTAATAGATTCTAAAGAACTTCATTTTTTTTTTCAAAAATATTAACTATTATTTCTGAGGCAAAAATTGTTAAAAACAAACTCAGATCATATTCATTATTATGATTTATTTTTTCCCTTAATTTCTATTATCGACCTGTGCTTTCTTTTTTAGGAAACACATTTCTGGTGAGGAATTACTAGGATTTAAAATAAGAAAATATAATAATACTTGAGGCCCAGAATCTATGATCTATGTATAAAAATATATTTCCACAACAGTTCAAAACGATTTTAAATAACCCCACGCTGTATTTACTTTAGGTACAGCTGTGACTGTTCTCACACAGCCTTCATAGGCACACACTGTGAGATACCGCAGCCAGCCTGCCACTCTGAACCCTGTTTAAATGGCGCCATCTGTACGGATGAGGACGGTAACTACACCTGTGAATGTTGGCCAGGTAAAAACCAAATAGTTCTTAAATATCAACGTGCTTTGTTTATGTAGTGTTGAAAGTAGTGTTTAAAAAAAGGAAAATTTACACGGGTTGTTTATTTTAATTACTCCGTCTTC